ATAAAATACCAAAGCACCTTTATTGAAATTAGCGAAATACCGGAAAACGTAAAACACCAGATACAGTTGAAAGCAGTTTAAAAAAGTAATTTTTACGGTTAAAATTAGAGTATCTACGCAAAACAAGCAATTTGGCCAGCGGATAGGAAGACTGGTCCCACTTAGAAAAAAAAAAAAAAAACACAAGTTGGTGTAACTGAATGACTAAATTCACTGTTCTACTAAGAATGTAAACAAATGGTCTTTCAAATGTAAGCAAATGGTCGCCTAATTAAGCTTATCCCAACTTAAACAACTTTTAAATTGTAAATAATTCTACATCCCTTGCATGCAAATTAACTAAAGGCATAAACACATTAATTGGAATATAAGAAAAATATAATGCAATCACTTTTAAAGGAAAAATTGTACAAGTTACCAATATATAAAATAAAATACTGAGCTCACCGAACCGGGTAAGAGAGTTGGTATATATATATATAATATATATATATATATGCTTATTTCAAAATTCTGTGCCTACGTTTTTGAGTTATGCGAGATACATACGTACATAAATACGAACGTACGGGCGTCACGAGAAAATTTCTTCTGAATCCATTTTGAGTCTATTTGACAATCCTTTATTCTGTCTGTAAGTACATATGTTATGCAAAACCATCATTCAAATGGATTCGACAGCGGTCAAAATGGATATTTTCTTTGAAATATAATACCGGAAAATTTTCGAGATTAGAGTGCTTCCTTTATTTCATACAAGGAAACAAAAACACAAAAACTTGGTATAAGAACAATTTCATGCAAGTGAAACTAAAATCATCAAATACCAAATAGAAACAGCATATACCCTTCTGATATTTTCAAAAAGAAAATTTTAAATAAAATAATTCAGTTTTGAAGTTGTTATGACAATAAAATGAATATTTGCTCTAACTGTGCAGTTGGATTAGGATACTAAGCAAATAATAATAATGATTGTTGAATGTGCTAGGTCGTTGCTATGAATGCATACCTGATACAAAACAGACTGTATTGCAAATAGAGGAACAAATAAAGTGATACTTTTAATAGATACTGGGATATTCATTAGTTAATTATTTCTGTTCGCTTTTCTTTTTGCCTCATTGAATAGGGGCTATCGTTAAATATCGCTTCGTGCATATTGACATAAGATGTTTTAATATAATTTCTCCACCTCCTTTTTACAAGTTACTTTAAAATGGGGTCTAATGAACGCTAAAGAAAAAAACCCGCGTTTCTTAATTGAGGAAAGAAAAAAAACATTTTTGTTATTGAGTAAAATATCTAGACTAAGAGAAAAAATGCAAAAGAGTACTAATGTTAATCAGACAGTGTTAAATTCTTCATCCTTTCCGACGTGTTTATCAGACAGTGTTAAATACTCCATACCTTCCGACGTGTTTATCAGGCAGTGTTAAGTACTTCATTCTTTCCGACGTGTTTATCAGACTTAAGTACTTCATCCATTCTGAAGTTGTATTTTGCAACCGAATTAAATCAAATTTTCGAAAAAATACAGTAAGGACTGTATGGATTGCAATAAAGGATTAGAAGAAGCGCACAATAAAGCACCGAAAAGTAATGAATATAACTAAAATTTATTCAATAATATTGAACAGAAAAACGTTTGGGCCTTCATCGGAAGCAATAACCTACTAGGAAAATATATATATTATGCTTTTGATTTTTACCTGAATAAATCTAAAAAACAAATCTACCAGCCTAATTTATCTCAAAAACTCCAAAGACATATATTTAAACAAGGAGTCCAACAAATCCCTTATTGTCCCATGTATCTTAAAGAAGAAAAAAAAAAGTTGTGAAAGGGAGATATTGGCAGAATAAAACGGTCACTGATATCGGATTGAGAATCATAACATAGCTCTTAACTGCAAATTGAAAATTAGAAATACGTTGTAAATAAAACATGTTTTTTGTAACGATAAAATTAAAAAACATAAAGTTTTCTATTCTTGTGGGTCATATAATGATAATTTCATCTTAGTGATGCAGACTCATATCGTTTCGTTTCTGCTTATATATTAAATGTATATTGATGAGATTTAATATAATAACAATGATAATATTAATAAATCTAAACCACCACTCGAGGAAGATTTTTTTAATTTCATCATTTGCTGCAAACAGATGAAATTTATTAAAATTTTCAATACCTTTATAAAACCTTTCAAAAAATAAGTCTCATATTTTAAAAATGAAGCATCTGCGTATGTAAAGCTCAAATGTATAAAGAATTTATGAATATTTTTGTATTTATATTGTTTGTTGTAGATAAGGCCTTTACTATTTTTAAAATATGTCTTACGGTTAAATAATTAAGTCATGCAAAGAGGCAACTCAGCTGGACAAGGAAATTATGAATTTACTTGTATTTATAATTTTTACTGTCAATAAAGACTTCTCCATTTTAAATAGGAAGATTTTATTCTACGAAAGTCTGAAAAGAAATTGGAAGATTTATATAGCAATTAAACATCAATATCCGTATTTCTGTCATGCAACAAGAAGAGAACTTTCTGTCGTTTATTACAACATATCTCTACTTTTCTTACGAAGGAAAGTTTAATAGATCACCAATTATGCTTGAAAAAAATTATGACAGTGAATAACGCGAAAATATGACTAATTCTACTTGGTAAAAAGTAAATAATATTAAAACGTAGTCAAAGTCATTCTTGAACGATCAGCTTAATGTAAAGCAAACACAAAAATAAAGATTTTGAAGGACAAAAAATAGGGGGAGGAAATATTAAAAAAAAGACGATTAAATTTCGTATGGTTTTTTGATAAAAAGCCAAGAAGCAAAGTGAAATTAGGATCGATTTTGCATTACACGAGCAAGTGTTATTTGTTTAAAGATAGAAGAATATTAATCAGAAGTAGAAAAAAGTATCTGTTTGCTATCTAAACTTTCAACTCATTATTCATTTTGAACTGAGCCAAATAATAGCGATTATTTTCCACCGTACATCTTTGCTAATTTTTCAAAAGTTTATATTTTTCAGGTTGAATAAGAATCCTCGTCAATTGAAAATCATGAGCTTCAGTCCTTTGTAAAAGTTTGAGATCATTTATTAAATTACCCAAATTTTTCTCGAAATGAGAAAGTTTTAATTCAAATTCTATTTATTCCTTTTGTAGAATAAAAGAATAACTGAGATGGGTGAAGAGGTTGCCAAGCGAGTGAAAGAGTTCAGTCGCTTTTTGGATACGGTCAATAAATCTATTCGCTGCTGTTTTAAATCTTCCAAGATTTTAATAGCTTCTTGAAGTTTCTATATACGTCTAATAATAAAGATAACAAACATAAGAGCTGTGAATTAATATTTAATCAAATGCAAAAGTCATAGAAATGCTTTCGTTGCAGGTTCGTTTTAATAAATTAATTGCTTTCATAAACATTATTTTAGTGCTTCCGTTATGAAAAAAAAATTTGTTTTTAGTACAGCTTCCCATACACGTTTCTGTTTTGGATGAAAGAATTATGAATTCTATTCCTAATGTGGACTTGAAATATAAATTTTAAAATATGAAACTGTATAAAATGTTTTCTGTGCGACTGTTATTTAATAAGGAAAGTAATCTAAATTACACAAAATTTTCAAATTTTATAAATCTCGTTTCCTATGTTACAAAATTATATGTTATTATTGAATTATTTCAAAGAAATTAATGTAGTTTTCTTAAAATTTGAATTTCTAAATTAAGCAAATGTTTCAGAATTAATAGATTTAAATATTAAATTTAAGGTACATTAATTAGAGTTTAATATCTTTTATCGATATTCCATATTTAAATGTATGTAAGGTATTTTATTTAAAGTTTATGTTAACTAGCATATTTTTTCTTAAGACAGATTCAATTCAAAAGTTAAATATCTTATATTTATAAACGTCAACACGTCAGCGCTTTGGAGGTAAAATTATTTTAGTTCAACCCGTGATTGATTTGACATTGGTAGACATTGATTTTAATGAGTGGAGTTTATTGATTAAAATTGGAAGAATTAATGTCTTACATATTGCTAAGTGCCAACAACTTCGCGTGTGGAAATAAAAATGTTTTAATTCGAACAGTCGGTCAGCTTTCAAAATGCTGAGTTTATTAATCAAAACTTCCTTAAATACACGTACAGAAAACGAAATAAATCGAAAACAAATTTGAAATTAAAAATTCTAGCTTCGAGACGCATGTGTTCGTGTGGAGGATAAGGCGTGTTCAGAATTTGGTAGCTCTACGTTTCGCCGCTTTTTTGTAATGCGAGGAACATTAACCTTACTTGCAAACAGATTCTTAATTATCTAGAAGAAGACATGTGAAGAGAAAATATAGTTAACGGATTATCACATTCCTGCAAGATGTAAATTTAAAAACTCGACACAGAAAAGGCAAGATATCTTTATCTTTATCATCTGGGGAACGAAACTTTCAGAACAAAAACTGACATACACAAGGACCGAGAAGCAATGTCTTGCAAAAATAAAAAATCTGACTGGAAATAAAAACTATGCTTCATTTTCTTACATGCTATTTTTGAATTTATGACCAAATAAACTAACTGTTATATGGTTGGTCCCTTGTATATTATATTTGCAGCTAAATGATTACTTCAGAATATAGCGTAAAAATTATTAAATGTTCATAAAACAGTGAGAAAAACTTTTGCACTTGTACAACTGCTCATGAGTTTGTGCAACGCCGTTAGATAGCAGCAAGAGAACAGATTCATCAGGGTTTCACTTTCGAAATAGTGACAGCCTCGCTTTCAGTGGTCACAGGTTGTCTGTTCAACCTATTGCACCCACAATGAGAAAACACACACAAATCATGCTTCTCCTAAAATTCGAGCTCGGGAAAGATTATTTGTCATATAGCATAGCATGCAGTATAGCGGATGAAAGTGTCCAGCTTTCAAGAGCTAGAAGATAATTAAATCAGAATATGAATAATGAGGTTACCTCCAATCAGCATTTGAGCAGCTCCTTGTGCGGAATCTCCATCATTGCTGGCGAAACACTGATAAATGCCATGATCCTCTCGACGCACAGATGTCACCATCAGCTGATTTCTACCTATGATGCGAATTCGGCCGCCATCTAAAATGAATTTGGCATCTTTAGCCCAGCGCACAGATGATATTGGAAACCCTCGAATACTGCAGTTAAAAGTAACCATTTCTCCAATGTCTGCGATCCTTTCATGGGGATATATCGAAACTGACAATTTATCTGTAAAATAAAAAGGTATGTCTCAGATGAGAAAATATATAAACAGAGGAGTAATAACCGAGCAAAACATCTGTTGGATATACACATACATACGCACACGTATTTATGCATATTTATACATAGGCATATGTAGGTGTTGATTACGGCGCAGTAAAAATATGTTACTCTAAGAATATTTTAAAATTAAAAATTTTAAACTAAAATTTTTGTCTTTATCGGTTCAGAAGCAGGTTTCTTTTTTACTTTTTTTCGTTCCATGAAGTGCTTGGTCTGATAAAGACACAGAGTACGTTTTTTCGAAAATTATTTCTTAATTTTAAAATTTAACTTAATTTGTGTCTTTTTCGGTTCAGAAAGAGGCTTTTTTATTTTATTTATGTACTTATTTTATTGCACGAGCCCCCTAATGACGATGCAGCGAAAGATAAAAGTTTCGTTTTCATTTTTGGTTTTGACATTTATTGCAGTTTGCCACTGCGCTTCTGTTTCTTAATTGTTTTGTGTGTAGTTTATTCTGATTTAATTATAGGATGAATTTGACTGTACTTTTTATTTTATGTTTTACATATATGTGTGTGTAATACACTAAGTGCGCAGTCATGAATCCGAAACTTTCAACTTCTGGCGGTAAACATGGCTGGGTGGAAAGTCAAGAATAAGACGTTGGCAAAACTAATTTCGGCGAATCACCATCTTTATTTTTAGGCACATCAGCTATTGTTTCTTTGGCATACAAATTACTTTTCGATCATACCTGAATACACATAATTTTTATATACACATTGATAAATGTGTATAGTGTTATATAAACACATTTCAGGCAGGGAAGCATAAGTGGCGCCGAGTGGTTTGCGTGGTAGATGTCAGGAAAAATGGAAACGTAGTCCTCGTGATTCAGTATTTATACTTCGGAGGTGCAGAGAGTATTCGAAGCTAAGATTGGTCAATATTAGTTTTAGTAACTTGGAATTAACTCGAATTTGGGAGAACTGATGAGCGTACGGGGGAGCACCAAATTTAGAATGTCAATTTTGATCTCGCCAGTTATTTTTTAAAACAGCCATCGTAATTTGTTATACCTTACATATCCCCCCTTCAAAAGAAAGGTTGGGTGAGCAAAGCGGAAGCAAAAGCATTGGAACAGCAGAATGTGAAAGTTGTAATTTTGAAAATCCATAACGTAAAATTAAATTTTAAACAAAAAAAAAATATCGTCATAGAATTTTGACGCAATTTGATATTTCACTAAAGGTTGTAAATTTCGAATTCAATAATAATTTTAAAAACTATAGTCTTTTAAAACAATTGCACATTTTTATAGTTATCAAGTTATTAAAATGTTCAATGTAAATTTTGAAAAGGTTTTGACGAAAATCGTTCCACAAAGTAAATGTTCAAATAAAAGTCTTTTTAATTTTTGTTGATGAAATTATTTCCATTATAGTATATACTGATCTGCGAACTTTGATGTAGAAATATAATACACAGTTTATGATAAATTAAATTTCTTCTTACTGTAGATACACATAATTATTACAGCAAAAACTTCAGTACAAAAACACTATGATATAATGCAATAATAGATAAAATAAGAATTCTTTGATGACTAATTTGGCGAGTCCTCTCCAACAAAATCAGCGTACAAGCTTGTTGATGGGTGGGGGGGCTGCGTATGTACAATATATCGAAAAACCTTCGTTCCTTAGAAAAGAAACTGGTTTTTCGCATTGTGCAATTGTCAAAGTTTTTTTTTGTTTGACAAATAACTTGTATAATCAAGTTAAAGTCTTTTTAGATTCTGCAAAAATATATAATTAAATTTATCGTACAATAAAAGAAACAAAAAAAGTTGTTTTAAAGTTAATGTGTGTGTGTGGGTATGTTGTAGCAGTTTTGTGCAAAACTATGGTCAGAGGATCGTGACTGGTAAAGAAAACAGAAATTGAATTTCCATAAGTTCATTTTAGAGAAGCCATTTTAAAGTATAAAAATTTTGTATACATCATTCATAAACACTGCAAATTTCAAACCTTTCACTATTATTAAGACATTTAAAATTTTACTTATACTTTATTTAACCTGAAGACTCCCACAACTTTCTCTAATTTAAACATTTCCATCTGCTGGGCAAAACCACTTAAACCTGGCTCATATATATCATGAGTGATTAAGTGTTGCTTTCGCATTCACTTATAAAGGTCTCCGTTCCTTGTTTAGAGACAACTGGCCTTTTTCAACTGCACAATGCATTTCATTTATAAAAAATAAATTAGCACATTCCCTTTATATATAAAAATGATTATATGAATAAATTATAACGTGGGAGCCTTCAAAGTTTATATCTTCTGATATGAGGAGGATAAAAGGAACATACAACAGAGGTAAAGACAGAGTCTCTCTTTTGTCCCAGTACTCCCTCATCACACTCTGCATACAATTATTCTATTTTTTTGGTTATCGTTTTGATATTCATCATATTTTTTTCCAACGGCAGATTGTGAACAGTTAAAGATGTAACAGAGTCCATTAATTTATTCTAAGGCCAGATGTGGTGGTTTCTTTATTATGGAGGCACCTAATAGGTGGGCCACCATCGCCTCCTATGAAAAGGACAGACAGTTACATTCACCCAGGCCCTTCGGTATCCCAGGCCCTTTGGAATCGCAGTTAGGCTCTCCTAACCACTATATCGTCTGGGCGGCAAGATGGTATTCATCATAACCATATTCAATATTCTAAACCCTTTACATTTTCTATATTATATTCAAAACACTTCTGTACCAGTTTTTCAAAATCAACACATTTTCACATTTAGCCATTCTTAAAATGAATTTAAAGTTCTTAAAATTCAAATTTTTAAATAATAATCTCATTTCTAATTATTACTAATTTTAATAACCTTCTACAAATAAAATAATTATAAATCTTTAAATTTGTTATCTAATTATGTAAAACAATTAGGAAAAACTAAATTTTTCTGCATGTGTTCATGAACGCAAATGAATGCAAAAATATATCCTAAATATTCAATCAGTTAGCTTAATGCGGTATAACTTGATAATTATTTTTAATACTGTGTTTATGTTATTTCGAGGTACCAACAATTACTATTTCTTTACAATCATGAGGTATCTGTAGACTTAAATACCTCAGTTTTAGAGCAAAAACAATTCAAATCCATTCTGAATGTTGTTGTACTAATCTTTATTAATCTATTAATTAAAATATGCATGTAGAAATTTGTGTTATAGAATTAAGAAATTAAAATAGTGAGAATTGTACATAATATTCTCAATATTTTGACAGACAGATATGCATTCTTATGTAAAATGCGGTGTTAAGTCGCGTATTAAATGAAGCTGTAATGTAGAATAAAAAGAAATCTGATGTGGGCGCCACATGACTTCATTGGACGGTTTATTATAAATTTTTTCTAAACATCATTTCAATTTATTTTCTCAAAATATTCGAAGTTAAATAACCGATCCCTCAAGCTAAGTTGAAAATGATATCAAAAACTGCAAATTTTGAAATTACATATCCTGGTCAATTTTTGGCATACGGAAGTCAAAATTCTGGTAATTTTATTTTTTCGTATCGAATATAAAAACTTTTCCAAGCAGATTGAAGGCAACCGGAAGACCGCATTAAAAGTTACAATTTGGTATTTATTGAAAATTAAAATTTTGTTGTATTTTAGTTTTAGTAAAATATGAATATTTTCGTCATTTGTAGGACTGCCATATTTGAAAGTATATCACTACGACCAACGACTGCGAAAAAAAAAAAAAAAAAAAAAAAGCCGGTGAGTACCTGTGAGCCGGACAACGTAGTTGGTATTTATGTACATGCGTTCGGTTTCGCGGACTGCAATAAAAAACAATGTGCATAATTAGTTGTTATAGCAGTTCCATATACAATATTTAAACGTTCTACGGCTAATCGTTTTAGAGTTATGCGAGTTATTGTTTTTAAGTTACATACTTACGTGCAGATGTTATATGAAAACCCCATTTGAATCGATTTTAAATGCATTTTTAATTGCTACGTATATGTATGCATATGGATCCGGGAACAATCAAAATAGATATTTCTTTTGAAATATGACACCCGAAATTTTTCGTGATTATATTATTTGCTTTACCTTGTACAAGAAAGTAATAATAAATATAGTGCATCTTTTTGTCAAAATTTTCGTGTCAGAAGAATCATATTTTTAAAAAATATGATCATTAAAGAATTACCGAAGCTCAGACCGCATTCTTGAATTAATCAGGTAATTTTCTTCGAATTTCATCAATTATTGTTCAAAAGCCATTTTTTAATAAGACAACACCATTTATTATTCTACCTAAAACTTTCAAAGGTTGAAAATGGAAGCAATATTTACAGCTTATAATGAGGTTCCGCAGTCTTCCCGCTAAATTTACCCCCAAAGTGAGCTTTAATCTTTTTTCTGAGTTATAAAGATTGAATGAGAGATTAGTTGCTAAGTATTGCGTTTTCTTAGCTTATTTCCAAACATTGAAGGAAGATTGGGAAAGTAGTTACATGTTAAATCATCTACTCTACTATATAACGAAATTAACGACGTTATATTTATGTTATGCAGAAGACAAAGATATAACATAAGAGTTGCTGAAATGTCGCGCAGAATAATACTTTAAATTCCTGCAAAATAAAAAATAGATGCACATTATCTTATTTTACAGACTTTATAGAGTCTATAAAATGAGGTACAAGTGGGTGGTAAAGAACTTACTTGTTCCAGTATTTGAAATATCAGAATGCTCTTTCTAACAAAAACTACTGATACCTTTGAATATTTAGGAGATTAGTTATCACATATGTATTTATATCATAATTGCATCGTTTTAAGGTATGCAATTAATTAGAAGTTCACATGGGAGTTTAATTTGAGCTGACAACTTATTTAATGTGAATTTCTTCCTGTACATTCTATTTATTCCATCATTCATTATCAGAATTTCAATTAAATA